TCTGTACCTGGTGTGGGTCTTCCCCAGCTTGGACAAATAAAATCTGCTGCTTGTAATAGAGCTGTGATGGTCATTCCGCCTGTCTGCATCACCTCCCTCCCTTACTTACAGGTAACTGAGCAACCGCTTGCTAGAGCTTGTCCCTCGGGCAGAGAGGAAACCTGTTAACTAATTAAATCTGCAAGATGAGCTGTGACCCCTGTACATCCCCGCCTGGCGCGCCAGCCGTTGCGTGTAAGTCCCAGAACCCTGCATGGGCATCGCTTGGATGTTAAGGATCTGTCTTTGATTCTACTGCGGAAGAGACAGGCTGGCCAGCTTTGGTTGCACCACGTCCTGCAGGTTTCATCACAAAATCTTCAAAGATCTTTCATTCCCCGGGACTCCAGGGTGTTCCTCAGTGGTCTTCTTCATCCCTCTGTGGCTCAGGGCCCACAAGCCTGAATTCCAAGCGTCAGCCCAAGAGCAATGTTTGGAAAAAGTCGATTCCTCCCACAGGAGGCGGTAGAAGCACAAAAGCCTGGGCAGTAGTTAATTCGGGGGGACCCCGCCCTGTGGCCCCAGGGAGCAGAGGGGATTAGCACCCTTTGACGGAAATCTGTGGGGGGCTGATCTGTGTGTCTATCCCTGCAGACTCATGCGTGATCCCAGAGAGCCAGGTGGGAACCACCAGGACCCCTCCTTCCCAGGCTGGTGCCCCCTGCCAATTCTCAGCTCCCTCCACTCATCCCCCCCCAAACACTCCACCTACCCCCCGCAGGAGCAGCGAACGGAAAGGGCTCACCCCCTCGCCGCCACAGGCGCCCCACAAGGGCAAGCAGGAAGCCGGCTGGGATGGCTTTTGTGTTACGTGGATATTTGTCCACCGGTGGGACCCACTTTTTCCACAATCACTGATCCCTCGCCCTTTGGCAGGCGCCCAACAGGCTGTCGTGCTGCTGTCTGGTACCCGCACAGGCAGAGTAAAATCCAGCAACGGGGCAGGCGTGGGCCTCTGCGCTGAGCCAGGGTGAGTCACAGACCCCGGGTGGAGCAGGGGCAGGGAGCAGCCATGTCTGAAGAGACGTGAGCTAAAGCAAAACCCTCCGGCTGTGCCAAAGACTGAGCCGGGCCCTCTGGGGCTTTTCTTGCAGCCGGGAAGGAATGACTTGGTAGCTGTGACGGACCGTCAGAGCTGGGCAACCCTCCATCCCTGCCCGGAACAAGGACCAGCCCTCAAACTGGAACCACGTTTGGCCCTGGGTGAAAAACCCCGCACTTGCAAGAGAGAAATGGCAGTTTGCCTGTGTTAGGCAGCGGAGCTGAGATCCTGCTGGTGACAGGATCCCGGCGAAAGGACGGGCATGCGGTCACATGGGCCCCCTTCTGCTGGTGAGAGGAAAATCAGCAAATGTTTTCAGTGCACTGGAGTCTCCAAGCCAGCTTTCCAAGAGGGGACCCAGGAGCAAAGGTTCCAGAATGTCGAGCACGTCACTCCCCAGTGCGGCTGCCTCATGCCGAAGACGGAGTTAAAGCCACTTGCCCTCCGTGTAATTTGTACGCTTGCTTCTCCGGAACGGGGTCTGCAATAATGTGATTATGCAGAGCTGCCTGCTGGACCCCGGAGCTCATTACCGTGGATTAAAAAAGGATCTTTAGCTTTGCAGGGGCCTGCGGCGAGGGGTCACAAAAGCCTCAGACAAGGCCTGTGTACCACTTTAGCCCCCTTTGCAGTTTGCATCTAAGTCTTGCTATTACCCTTTGTCCAGGGGGAATTGCCCTGAGAACAGGTGAAAGCAAAACAGGCCGTATAGCTCTTTCCCCCGAGGACAAGACTGGATCAGAGCTGGGATGTATGTGGGCTTGTGCTGAGGAACCAAAACCTCCTTCCTCAGAGGTGCCAAGCAGTGCTCCCTCTTTTTTTATGCCCATGTGCGGAATTAATTTTGTTCTGTGCACCAATGTGCAGATGAAGTGCGACACATCACCCCCACATTGGTGCACATAATAAAATTCATTCTGCACATGAGTGCTCTGTGGTGGGGTCCATAGTGGTGAGAGGGGACTCAGCGATGGGGGGGGGGTGACAGCACTGGCTGGGGGTGTGGGCTTTGGGGTAAGGCTGAGGCCAAGGGGTTTGGAGTGAGGGAGAAAGGTCAGGGAAGGTGGTTGGGGTGGGGATGTGGAGGCTGGGCAGGAATGAGGGTGAGGAGGGGGCCAGGTTTGGGGTGTGCATCTAGGAGAGAGGAAAGGGGGTGGAGCGGGCTCAGGACTTGGGCAGGGGATTGTGGTTCAGAGTGCTCATCTGGGGCAGCTCCATTTGGTGTGTGTGTGGGGGCGGGGGAGGGATAGATGGCTCTGTGCTGCCTCCCACTCACCAGCTGGCACCGCCCCCTGCAGCTCCCATTGGCTGCGATTCCCAGCCAGTGAAACTTTGTGGAGACAGAGCTTCCTGGTGCTCCTGATGATGCCGCTCCAGCCCAGGGCAGAGGGGAAGGACGGCAGCGCATGGAAGGACTGGCCTAGTTCACAGGGGCTTTACGGGCTACAGCCCAGGGTCCTGGACTAAGGGGGCCCCTTTCACGCAGGGTCCTGGGCTGCAGCCTCTAAAGCCCCTTTCTTAATCGTCCCAGCTGCTGCGGCCGGAGGAGTGTGTCTCTCCCCCAGCCCCAGCAGGGAGCTGCTGCAGCCAGGGGATAGAGGTCTCTCCCCAGCTCTGAGCCCCTGTGTGGGGCTCATTAGGCAGCTGCTCGGCCGCACAGCTTAGAGGGAATCTTTGAGCTGCGCGTCGCGGCTCCCGTGGACTTGAGCTGAAGTGGTGATTTCTCAGCAATTCTGTGAGCCAAAGGAAGGCTGGTGGAGCTGAGTCCGGCAGAGAATGGAAGCTGGGCTCAGCCAATGTCTTTTGCCCCCACAATTGTGTTTTTGTGTCCTGAGTCTCACGCCCACTTTGCCAATGGTACCGACACCTCATGTGTGAACAGTGGAGCCAATAGCCTCCGTGGACCCCTGGGTATGTGGGAGGGCAGCTCTGTGCTCATAGAAGGGGTGGGCCAAGGGCAAAAAGGGCAGGATTCAGGGCAGAAGGGGCGGGGCCAAAGGTAGCTGACCCCCCAGCCCCTAGCGCTGCCCGGAGTAGTGAAGCTGGCCTTCCCGTGTGGCGCTCTGGTGGTGATTTAAAGGGCCTCTGGGGCAATTGCCCTCTTTACCTCCCCTCCCCCCCAGTCAATGGGCTTGTCTGTGAATCTCACTCAGTGTGAAGGGACGTGAGTTTTAGCTGGTGTTACACCTACACCAAAGGGCCAGAAAGGAAAAGCAACTAGCAGGGGTGAATTAAAAATATAAATGAAGCACTTATTGAATGCTTTTCATCCATAGAGCTCAAGCCATGTTACAAAGCAATGTATCATCCCCATTTTACAAATGGGGAAACTGAGGCATGGGGGAGGGAGGTGAGTTGCCCAAGGCCACTCAGCAACTCAAAGACAGGAGTAAGAGCCAGGTCTCTTGAGTCCCAGGCCAGTGCTCTGTCCAACAGACCATGCTATCTCGCTCAAGTAGAAGAATCTGAAGAAAACCACTAACGGCCAAGTTTTGAGACCTCCAGGTTTCTGGCCATGAAGACAGTCTTGCATGTCCACCATCACTGCGGTAGCTCAGTGGGTCAAAAGTGAGATTATGCCTTGTCAGAGGGGGTTACACTTTGCCTACCAAGATCTCAAATCCCTTTGTGAAGGTGGGTAATTATCCTTTCACATGGGGAAACTGAGGCACCGAGCAGGGCTGTGACTTGTCCAAGGTCCTCCAGCAGGCCAGTGGCAGACTTCAGAACAGAGCCAAGATCCAGTCCCTGCAGCAAACAAAAGCCCATTCTGCCACCCGGGCACAGTTTGAATCCTCCAACTGGCTATGCTGGTGGCTGTAAAAAGGAGACCACGGAATCATTTTCCCTCCAAGTGGCACTGAGGGGAACGTCCCTTCACGCTGAATGAGATTCACAGACAAGTCCTCGGATGGGCACTTACTCCTCATCCACGTTCCCCCGCACCCGGAGGTCAGCATTAGCCAGCCCAGTTTAAATCCACGTGGTGAAGAGTAAAGGAGCTGAGTTGCTGTGTCATGTCAACCTTTTAACATTTCACTGAGCAGAGGGCGAGAGAAAGCCATGTCACCTGGCTGGCAGCATCTCAACAGCGTGCCTTTCCCCAGACCGCCCGCTCTCTTCTTACTCAGTGCTGAGTTAAAAATCGAGGAGTCTTGCGGCCCCTTACAGACGGACAGATTTATTTGGGCATCATGGCCAAGTGTTTCTCAGAAAGTCCACCCAGGGAGCAGAAGGCAGGACCACGTGCAAAATCCACTCACTCTGGCTACATCTAGACTGCATTGCTTTTCCGGGATTCCAGAGGTATCCCGGAAAAGCAAGGCTGAAGATTTTTGAAAAAGCGGACGCGCTCTTTCACCATCTCTGTAAACCTCGTTCTACGAGGAACAAGGGATGTGTCAAAAGAGCACTTTTCCTCCGAAATTTGGCCTCGCAAATTCCGTATCTTTTTCCAGTTTAACACTGCAGTCTAGAAGTAGCCTCTGAGAAAAGCAGGTAAAAAGCAGAAGAGAAACTATTGATAAGAAAAGTGACACCCCCGCTCCACAGGAAGAAGTAGTACACTCCTGAGGACGTGCAGAGCTGCATGTCTCGCAGAGTCAGTGAATTCAGAGAATGAAGGAGACACATGTGGTCCCCTAATGCCAGCTTCAGCAAAAGCACTTACATAAGATCTTATCAAATTTAAAAGATGTGCTTCAATAGTCAAGCCAATCCAGCGACTTAGCCCGGCCCTCTAAGCTGCAGCCAGCTAAACCTACAGGATCCGTGGTCAGTCAGAATTCCTGCTCAGGGGCTCTTTGTCTGGACTCCTTGGACAGGCACAGAACTTGCCGGCCGTATACAGGTCTCCAATGGGCTCAGGATAGAACTGGGGGAAAGCAGTCAAAACCGTAGGGCTGCGGAGGTCACGTTCATGACTGGGCAGAGGACACATGCGCTCAGTGGTTTGGAAGAAATCCATGGGGTCTGCAAGGAGAGGTACATCCTGCCATGCCTAACATAGGCCCTGGGGTCCAGCTGTGGGTCTCGGAGCGCCTCAAGGAACACTTTTTGCTCCTCTCTAATGAGCTCAGCAGGAGGGCCTTGGGGAAGGGGCATGCGGGGCCTCGCCTAGCACTGCGCAAGAATCACTGGCAGGTCTGCAAATGGAAAAAGGTTTTGGTTCACATCCAACTGAAACCAAAAATGAACTGAAATCAGCCCGGAGCCCTTCTCCAGTGAATCCTGAATGGCACAAAAGCAGAGCAGCTTCCAGAAAAGAGACTGACAGACTGGGGAATACCCTATGCCTGGGTGGTTAATTCATCTGGGGAGACCCAGGTTCGAATGCTGCTCTGAAGCAGGGAGTGGATCCCTCTGCTCACACGAGTGCTCCAATCACCAGTCTGCGGCTATCCTGCACCTCCTCTTGACCCTGATCCATTGGTGCAGAAACTGAAAGGCTGGTGAGTGCCCTGACCACCAAGCTACAGTCATTTTCTCGCTTTCTGCTTCCATGACTCTTTGGGTCTTTTATACAAAGTGGAATCTCTTCCCCTGGATCTAGAGAGACAAGCACTCCCAGAATCACCTACAGCTGTTCACCGTTCCTGGCTCTGCCGCCGAGGGGGTATTGAAACCTCGGTCTTCCAAACCCCTGCTGATTGCCCTGTTGGCATTTTGCAAATGGTGCCTAAATTCTTTTGTGACTCTAGTCCTGCCCCACGGAAATGTTTTGATCTGATAGTGTCGGTAGTTTTACTCACAGACGTTTGTAGCAAAGACCAGGACTGAGTCTTTGCATGTGGGAAGCTTGCCAACCAGGAAGGGAATTTACAGAGTGACATAGGGCGTGGAAGGCTGATAATTGAGCAACTCCATTGAAATACCCTCCTGTAGTCAGTGAGGTGAGGCAAGCCGGCTTTCGTTAGCCTTTTTGGGAGCCTTCTCGTTATAATCCTTGCTAAATAGAGTAGAAAGGGCCCCTGGGTTCTCCAATCTAACTTTGAAAGAAAAGGCGAATCCAGTTTATATTCTATGTGCAACCATATCTGAACACGTGGACTGGCTAACTACACCTATGACCCGTTCCTTCCAGTGACGCCTTTCTTTGAAACTAAAACTGGTTACTTTCCATGTAGCTGGTGTTTTTTATCTTCAGTGATTCCTGCGCTAGCAAAGCGCTTGGTTGAACAGCCCTGGAGCGTGACACCTCTTATGTAGTTACAGAACACATCCAGCAGGGCAAGCATCCCACAATGCCCTGGGAATGACCTTCACCTACAGGAACCCCCCTATTGGACTGAGAGGGAAGTTCAGTCTCCATGACACCCTTCCATCTTTGGCTTCTCTATGGTCACTGCTAATTTAGGACCAGTGGTGGCTTATGGACACGTAGCCACGGAGAGCTGGGCTCTGAGTCACCCTCATTCAGAGGAAACTTGACAACAGTCAGATACAGCAATGAATGGTCACATGCCCCAACAAGAAGGAACCTGTTTCTCATGAAATCTACAGTTCTATTTCCATTACATGAGTGAGATCATGCACTTTGGCAGCCTTTTCAAACCAAAGAGCCAAACTACATCGAAATTCAGAATGAGTGGTCCAAACAGAGCTGTATAAGAATGCTTGTTTGCATGACTGAAGATATACCACTTAATATTCTTGATCACTGACATGATGATTAATAATAGCATAAATGCAACATTATACTCACAGACTTTATTTAATAGGACTTCTACTGCTGGATCAGTTCATGCATTTCTTTGAAGTTTACTTCATAACTGGTCAAATTCAGCTTTATGCAGGCATTCAAGCTACATGAAATATTACACTTTTAATATTTTGAATTAATTTTTCATTGTAATTTAAACAATTGTGTGTATTTTGGGAATGACAGAAGAGCCATATTTGGTTCCATACTGAGACATATTAGGCTCAAGAGCCATAGATTGCAGACCCCTGCACTATGGGAACCAATATCCATCATCTGTCCCAGACTGAGCAGCGGTTTTAATGAACATAAGAACAGCCATACTGGGTCAGACTAATGGTCCATTGACTGACAGTGACCAATGCCAGATGCTTCAGTGGGAATGATCCATATATGGGCAATTATCAAGTGATCCATCTCTTGTTGCTAGGTCTCAGCTTCTAGCAGACAGATGTTGAAAGACACCCGGAGCATGGGGTTCTGTCCCTGATTGTCTTGGCTAATAGCCATTTGTGGATCTATCCTTCAAGAACTCATCTAATTTGTTTTTTAATCGATTAGATTTTTGGCCTTTGCAACATCCCCTGGCAAGGAGTTCCACAGGTTGCCTGAGTGTCATGTGAAGAAGCACTTCCTTTTGATTGTTTTAAATCTGCTGCCAATTACTGCAATGGGGTGACTCCTTCTTCTTGTGTTATGCAAAGGAGTATATAACACTTCCTTACTCACTTTCTCTACACCACTCATGATTTCATAGACTTCTATCATATCCCACACAGATATTTCCTTGCTATGCTGAAGGGTCCCAATCTTTCTAATCTCTCCTCATATGGAAGCTCTTCCGTATCCCTAATCATTTTCATTATGTGTCTCTGCTCCTTTTCCAGTTCTAATAGATCCTTTTTGAGATGGGGCGTCCAAGTCTGCTTGTGGTATTCCAGGTGCAGTCATACCATGGTGTGATATATAGCAGGATGGTATTTTCTGTTTTGTAACCTGCCCCTTTCCCAGTGGTCCCTAACACGCTGCTGGAAATGCCCTAATAACTGTGCCAGTACCATGAAAGGCTTTTGCATCTCCAAGGCAGTGGGTGTTTGTGCAACTGCCTAGGAGAGATTCCAATGGCGCCCAGCTGATTAGCAGAGCGCCCACAGCTAGGTTTTGTTTCTGCAGGTGGTGCACACTCGCACATGCCTTGGTGCACATAAAATTGATTCTGCACATGGATGGAAAAGATTAGAAGGAACATTGCTCCAAGGGCAAACAGACCAGCTAAAGCTTCCACATGATGGCCACTGCCGTCTAACATGCCTGCAGGGGACTCAATCTTTTATTAACAGGCTATAAGGCGGATGCTGTGGCTCTCTGCCAAGTCAGGATCATTGCGGGCTGGCTGCCAAGTTCTCTTAATAACCCACGTAGGGCTGAATTGCTAACAACATGCAGCCGGCCGGTGCCTGCAGGGTTACCAAATGCACACGCACCAGAGGCCAGGTTCCCAAAGTGCTCAGCAATCTACAGTTCTCACTGAAGTGGGTCTCCTCACACGAGATGCTGCATGCTGAACCCTTTGGAAAATGGAGCTGCTGCAGGTCGGAACCTAAATGGGAGCTGCTGCTAGAACAAAGATGTCAACAGAAGAGTGAAAATGAATCTGCTTTAGTCTCTGCCACTTCTCAGGTCCACCCTGCCCCAATATTACTGTGACATGGATGATTCATAGCAAGAGCTAGATTCATATGGGTATGAACTGCCCATTTACGTGGGAGCCGCCCGTGCTTGTCAGAAGTATGGACTCTTGTGCTTTCCGGGCTAAAAGACGGGGCAGATCCTGCACGGTTCATTCCTCACGCAGGTAAAATTCGCCTTCTAGAGCAAAGAGTCCAGCAACACACTCTTGATTTGCAAATAAACAAACCCCCCTTGCTGCCATAGGGAAGTCACTAACTCCCAGTTATGAACCAATGACACTAATAGGATGGGCTTGTATCCTGTCACATCCCCTTACTATCAGCTAGCAAAGGGGTGATGTTCTTGTTCCCTAGAGCAGTGTTTCTCAACCAGTGGTAAAAGCACTCTTAGGGGTACTCGAGAGAAGTCTGGGGGGTACGTCAACAACTGAAATTTGGAGAAAACAATTTTTGTTTTAAGTTTTACAGTGCTTTATTATTTTTGTACTTTTTACACCCAAAATTGTCATCACCCGCCCAACTATGATTAAGTTGTTTAAACAAATGTGTTGCAATGATAGAAAAAAATTGTGTGTGTCTGAAAACTGTAGGTACAGGGGGTACTTATATATGTTTTAAAGGTGTATTTTATAAAAAAAAGTTTGAGCAACACTGCCCTAGAGCATAGAACCTGGAGTGCTCTCCTGAACTCTGTTCTCAAATCTGTCCCCGACCCATGTGACCTAAAGCTGACACGGATCCGTCTGACCTTATGGAAGGGCCAGTAAGTGCCTCGGTGCTGATACATGTGGATTTCAGTCTAGGGTTACAACAGAGCAGCCTCCAAAAGTTCGTTGAGCCTGTACAGAATGCTTGCTACCTCCTATTGTATCCACTCATGTCAAACACCAGGATTTGTAGTGTCCCTCCAATGGAAACAAAGCAGTAGCAAAGGAGAACGTGTGGTACATTAAACAGAGAGCAAGGGACATGCAAATATTTGCAGATCTTGAGTTTTCATTGCATCCCTTCTCCACAAGTTGGACCAGTTAGCAGCGATTTGCTAAGAACCTGCATAATATCGGCTACTTCTCCAACCTAGAGCACTTTCAAGTTGTCACAGCAGGATTGCAACACAGTGATGGGAAATGTCTTTTAAACCCTTCCTAATGGCTGTGGCATTTTTGCCATTGTGGAAAGAAGGGAGTGATATGGGAAGAGTCTGTCGTAATTCGGTAAAATAGTGACATCTAGTGTTTTTTTGCCAACAGCAGCAATGTATTAAAAAAAATCCATCACTAATAATCAGATTCTCAAAAGAGCAAAAGCTGTCCCTAGATTGTGCATTTAGGAGATTAATATTTTTTCATGCTGGTTACTATCCACAGGAATCTTATGCTCAGGTCAACTGGTGAGAGAGAGAAAGAGAGATGGATGAATGTCAACCAGAGATTAGATCAAAACAGCCCAAATCCTCTGAACTATAATTTTAGATACTCCTGAAGCCAGGGTTCCTGCATGAATATTTTCTTAATCAAGAAATTGAAATAAATCCTGAGTTGTAAGACTGTTATAGGTCAACAGTAACGCTATTGAACTGCAGATTTACACCA